ATTATACAGCGGACCTATAAAAAAAGACTGAAATTGCACTGGAATATCCAATCAAACAACCCATTATATATCGGGCCTATATAACTGATCTAAAAACAACAGAAAACCCTGAAAATGCATAGGGATATCTATTTCAAACACCCCATTATATAGCTGACATAAAAACAGCAGAAAACTCTGCAACTAGAAACACTGAACAGGTTACCTAACGACCAATATATAAGTTTATTCTTTGTCATGTTAAAAGCATGGCTCTTTCTGATCCTGGGTATACCAAGTCTACTGCTAATTAGTCGGCAGAAATATCAAACAAACATTGTCTTATAAACTCAATCCAACACCAATAATGACATCAAATATGTATAATGATTTCCACACAACCTAGCTTCAATACCTTTAAAAAAACACAGAAACCCATGAAATTCCACTTGGTGATATTACGACTGAAGCTGATGATAAGTGTAGTTCTGACATAATAATCCTGGAAAACCAGTGAATCTGACATCAAAATCCTGGAAAACCAGATACGTTTAGATTGGAAAATCAGAAAGAAAATAAACACAACAACCTCTTACTGTAAAATCCAGATGTTTTCCTAATTTGTTTATATATTACACTGTATCATAAGATACTGTGTTATAATCTACCCCTTCATAAACAAAACCAAAACAATTGAGCGTCAATGAAGGAAACATTTAAACACATATCCCTAAGAAACTGATCTTATCATGTGTATGTATACATGTACTAAAGAAACCAAACAATAAACTATTAAATATTTATAAACATGATAAAATGTAAGACATACCATGTAAGCTTCCATAACAGTTCTGCTTGTTTGGATGATTTTAAGATTATCTATTTTTAGATTATCACAAGTATTGTTGGTAGAGTTCCCAACTGATGATAAATGAAAACCTTTGTTACTATTAATAACAGGATCAAATTTTCCTTGAAGATCAAGAATCGTTACAGAGTTTGAAATCATATGCAACTGACAAATGTTACCATTATCGGCCTTGGGATAGACTTAGTCACTGTTATTCAATTTAATCTATTGTCATTTTTTGTATTGTTAGTTTCACTTTATCCTTCAATCCAAATATCTATTTATAAACACATATTTCATCACATATAATAATTCTTTGTCCCATATTCAAGACAAAAACATTCTTACAGAATTCTTTGTTCCATATTAAAGACATAACTGAATGTCAACAAAAATCTAAATAACTGATGATCCAAAATAAAAATTAAAACTGAACTGTATGCTGTCATTGCTAATATCCCTCCAAATTTAAAACAGACTAAAATTTAAATATTCAAAAATCAATAGAAGATCAATTTCAAAGTTCAAGGACAAGCTTCATACCTTTATGTGCTTTGATCTGCTTTGAACAAGTTAAATTCACCTTAAATAATCTCACCTTTTGTTGATTTAAACATTATAAGCTTAAAGAAAGGTTAGGTCATTTTTATGTAAAATTCCACCTATTTCGAGTTCAGAAAGTTAATTTACTCTTTTTATTAATTATACTGACTTTTTGGTATTTTTTTTATTTATCATTTTTTGTTAAAAAAAGTTAAATACTATAAATATTTACCTGACAGACTACCACACCAAAAAGGTCAAAAATTATATCAACGGTCTCCAGCAATATTAATAAGGAAAAAATCTGCAGATGACCAAAAAAGTAAAACCATTTCAACAAAAAAATGTACAAATTTTAATGCACTGTAAATTCTGTAATTATTGCATGCATTTATTTTGACGATTTTTTATGAATGGACAAAGATGTGTGATTAATTATTGCTATTTCAGGAAAATCTACATACAGGTTCATGTATCAGATATCAGAATGTGAGTTTTTGTTATTGCGATAATTGACAAGTTGCATTATTCGCATTAATAAAAACCTCTCAATAATTTCTGAATTTACAGTGTTGCAAAATAATCGTTTTAATTTATTGAAAATTGAATGTATCAAAATACAAAAAAATATCATTTCCTTCTGATTCAATATTTTTTTTAGAATGAATTAGTTTTCGGGTCTAGAAAATCAGGAAGATATTTTCAAAATTTTCCCCTGATTTCAAAGATCAATATAATTAACATTAAATAGTATTGACATTTTAAATAATTCTTTAAATAGAGTAACAACTTCTAGTATAATTTATTTAAAAAATGTTTTTTCAGTAAAGCCAAGAGACCTGGGACTTTATACTAAGTATAATAGTCCCAAAAGAGACACTCCTGAAGAATTTTAAACTTCTAATTATTTATTTAACTAATATAAAGATAATGTCGGTTACATTTGATCCATGCCATAATGGTTGGTCACCTCAAGATCAGGTGTAAAATTTTGAAAATTAACTCACCTCAATTATATAATTTAATCCCATCGAGAAAAAATAAACTCATACATGTAAATCCTTCAATATATTAAATTATCCCACTACTAAACCATAACATATACACAAAACATGATGTAAATGTGCAAGCTGTTTACAGCACACCCTGACCAGGTAAATCTCAGGTAAACCATGTATGACCTACAATTGTCCTAAGGGGTAGATAACAATAACAGATGGGTTGGACAGGACAAGTAAAGGAACAAAGACAAGATAATTATAAAATGCCATCAGTATAAATTATAATTCAATAGAAATCTTGTCATGTTTATCTTTATTCTTGTAAGGGCAATAATCTAAGGCTTTACATGATATTATTAAAACTTCAATGGTGTTAATGACTGCAGGAAACTGGGTTAGACATTTACACACTTGGCTGAAGGTAGAATTCGTACAATCTAAGATTTGGGTCTAAAAAAAAATCATTTATGTCATATTTGGACAAAAAGTGTACAGACTTGTTCTTAGATGATTTAATGTCCAGGATGATATATTTTTTTCATTAGCAAAGCTTCAAGAGAAATTAAAGTTATTCCTTATAACGAGGCCAAATTTTGTTATGATCGTTGCAAATTAACAAGTTGAAATTCTTCTATAAGCTGTATTACAGTTTCATTAGCACCAAGCTACATGTGCGTGGCTACAACCTGTAAGCACATACAAAGAGATTAGGCAAAAGAGAATTACTTCTGGTCATTCCCTCCTTGACCATCATCTAAATATACCTATTCCAAGTCCTGAAACAACACTAAGATATATGAAGTATACTCTGAAACTGTCAATTCTTTCAATTTACACAATATAATTTGTTTATAAAGTAGTCGAGTTTTTCAAGTCATTCGTAATCTTGACATATATAAAATTTGCAATACATTAACCATTTTGAATGTGCTCTGACTAGCAACAGGACAGTGCCATGGTTTTGAAGCCAAAATCTTACAGGCTTAATAATAATATTTCTACATTAACCTCATTCATTATTTGGCATGAATAAAATCCAGTACAAACCAATAACTTCAGTATTTACATTTGTGTGATCAGTGATGCATATAAGTCAAATATTCTCAATTACATTAAGATTTTCATTTTGTATGATGGATCGATCTTTAATGTGAATTGTAAATGTAATTTGTTTCTCATGATACTGTGATGGGATGTCAACTGGGCGAAGAGGTTAAAATTGGAGTACTCGTTTGTTTTACAGAGCAATCTCTTGAAAGTATTTGCTCCGAAAAATATTATTAAAATTGTAACACAATTACGCTTTGTGGGCAGTTGTCTCCAACATGTACAATAAAATGTAACCATTAACATTATTATTTCGGGCTAATATCATAATTAAAGTTAATTTACTATATGTACTAATTAAATAAACAGTAATCTAATCAATAATTAAATAAACACCTGTTAATTATAAATGATTACTTAGTAAAAACTGTGTTTAACCATTTACTGAGGTCATCACAGGGTATGATGAATTTGTTCTTATTAAGAAATATTATCTTGTCAATTATTTCAGTGAAGAGTTGTTTTTCACAACTTTGTAACCTCTAACCCTACAGATGAAATATTTTTGCTCTGACTACAGTTGTGTCAGGAATGGTTAATTTTAAGACTATTTTCAGTCAAATGTGTAGGTCTAGGAACTATCTTGTGTAGAACACCTCTTTAAAAGATATAACTCACAACTGAATCCAAACCAAAATAAAAAAACACACAAGACTAGCAAAGGTTCCTGACTTGGGACAGGCACACAAATGTGGCAGGGTTAAACATGTTTTTTGAGATCTATACTCTTCCCCTATACCTCATCCAATGTGGGATAAACAAACACATAGTAAAACTCAGTCGTATAGTTCAACATGTGAAAACTTGGTCTGTGAAAGTTGAGTTTTGCTCTCAATTTTAAACATAAATACATAAGTTGTGTAAAATAAGACCATGAGTTTCATCACATAAGTCTGAAGTATAAAAGGTCATTTTTAAATCCATTTTAATACTATCCAAATCTTCTTAAATAGTTCAACACTAATCCCTAGCATTTCACAAACAATCTTTGGAAAGATTTAAGTGAACTTATGTCAACAAGTTTTATGATCTAGTCAACTTTTTGTACTGTGGACGATAAACTGACCGTTCAATGTCAAAACGGTGGCACATTTTATGATTAGTATATTCAACATATAAATTACATACATAAAGTCAATATCTTATAGGTATATCACAAGACAATTCAAGAATGTTTGATGCAAGAACAGAGTACAAATGCAGTTATGACTTGCATATGCCAGAGAATATTTCTTCAACTGGAGAAAGGCTGAAGTGAAAAATTATGTCTGCCAGAGTTTTCATTGCTGGGTAAGGAGAGGTGAAGACTTATACCTACAAGAGAGTTCATTTCAACCGGAGTCTGGAGAAGGGGTGTAGTGAAGTCTTCAGTCTGTCTGAGAGTTCTGTGTTGGGGAAGGGGAGTGTAGTGACCACTTACATTTACAAGAGTGTTCTGTGTTGGGGAAGGGGAGTGTAGTGACCATTTACATTTACAAGAGTATTCTGTGTTGGGGAAGGGGAGTGTAGTGAATACTTACGTCTGCCAGAGAGTTATGTGCGGTCACAAATTCTGTACTGCTGTCACTCTCTAGAGTCTTACTGAATGTTTTGTCTTCATCTGGGGTCAAGATACGATGAGGGATGTTCATTTTACTGCTATCCCTTCTGAAAATACAAATATACAACATTATTGTTAACTGGAGAAAGGTTGCTTTCTCATAAAAAAAAAAAATACCCATAATTATAATCTGGGGTCAAGCTGCTATTCTTTTTTATATATATATCCAAATAAAGCTCTTCAAAATAATACTTCAATTACTTGTCTAGAATAAATGAAAGATTTTCTATCTCTTACAAAACTACATGTGTCTACTTCCTAGAGTAAGCAAAAGATTTTCTACCCCTTAAAAAACATAGAATATGATAGTTTACAATATTTTTGGGATTAATTCAGTTTTATTGACATCTTTTCCTAACTATCGAATACAAATCAAAAATAGGAAATGCTGGGATGGGATTATTATTGTCATTAGATGCAATATAACAACAAAACAAAGTTAAAACAAAATTGTCAAACTACTACCGTGCATATCTGTATTTAATAGACCCGAAATATAATTTTCAGTTATTTCAGTAAAAGTCTATGCTGAAATCTTAAAAAGTGATGAAAACATTAGACCAAAATGGTTCAAAAGCCCTTTATGGTTCAATAGCCTAAACCATCCCTATACCCATAACCTTCCAATATTCAAAAACCACAGTACAAAGTTGTATTAGATATAGCCATAAGCCTCAAACCAGACAAATAAAATGGAGATAAACTATAAACACTTTTCAGGTCTATTGTGTTTGTTTATCCGATAATCAGGTGTAAAACTATAAAATAGTCCTGATCCTTAACAGGAAGGTCAACACTTAATGTCATACTTTATGGACATACAATAGAGGAACTAATTTTTACAAACTAAAGCATTAATCTTTCTACTTAACAATACACTATACACTGTACATCAGAACATGAGATCAAAGCTAAGTTTTTGAGGTCACAAAGGAAAAGGATGATTGTTTATATGTTACATGATTCTATTCAATGAAAAGAGAAAGCCTTTCAGCATTTTTGAGTTATTGTCCGAAAACTGGAAAATCACCCCTTTTTTTAATGAATAAAACCCCATAACTCAGAAATGTAATAAGTAAAATTTATAAAATTCTAAAGGGAGCTTACATTAATACAAATAAACAATTCACCAAAGTTTCATAAGAATTGCTGAAAGCATTTTTGAGTTTTTGTCCGAAAACTGGAAAATCCCCCCTTTTTTTATGAATAAAACCCTGTAACTCGGAAACATAAAATCTAAAATTTATAAAAATCAAAAGGGAGCTCATGTCAATAGATGTTAACAATTCACCAAAGTTTTATGCAAATTGGTTAAAGCATTTTTGAGTTAATGTCCGACATGTTGATGACGAACAGACGGACGGACGGACAACGGTATACCATAATACGTCCCGTAAACGGGCGTATGAAAAATAATCATATTTCTATATTTTAAATTCTCAACCCTACACCTTTTTACATGAAACTGTACAGCCCTAAGGGTAAGACTATTTCACTATATGAATATATAAAAATATGGAGATGTGATTGCCAATGAGACAACTATCCACCAAAGTTCAAATGAAGTGTATTTAAGCAATTATAGGCAACTGTACGGCATGTATGGGTAATGTAACAATTGACCAACTTCCTCTAAGTCTGGTACCTGAAACAGTACACCAATACTGTATACCAGATCAAAACATAAGTTTCTATATAAACCATTAAAAGAAGATGCAGAAAAGGATATCTTTTGATGTCAGATTTTAATTGATGCAGTTTACAATGCAGACATAATCAATTTCTTTTCATGTTACTTTATTTCTCAACCTGAATTTACCTCAGTCTCGTAAATCGTACACCTACATCTTGGAAAGGTTTCAACTAAATTCAATTAGATTGTGGACATTAAATCATGGTCAGACAGTACACTTCATTGGGACATTTGACAGAATATTTGTTATATTTTATTACTTTGTCTGGTCGATTTGATATAAATATTTATAATTATTAATAAATTGTTTGTTTTGTCTCCAAAGATTGCTAATTTTCAAAAATCATGAAAATCATTTACATATTTACACAAATATCTTATTCTTATTCTCTCCCGGAGCACATTTGATTTATAATTTATTAATAAAATTCTGACCTATGTGTCAGTATAACACTGCCTTCAAACATAATATTAAGTACAAAAGATATAAAACTTTGAATAAATTACATAACACCATTATATCATATAAATATAATCGATTCTGTCGATATAAAACAAGCCTTTATACTGTCTATTTGATGGAGAAATCTAACTGTATCAAATACCAGCGGGCTTTTAAACCTGATGACATAAACTTGTACATGACTAGATTGAAATGTACACGAGTTTCCTGAATCTATCTCACAAACATTCTTTATCCCTTGCCCCCTCTCTACTGTAACTCTCTTGATTTATTGGAACTGGTAACAAGTGTGTAAAGTCAATCAGAATGTTAAAATATTGGACTCAAAATTATATTAAATTCAATATCTTATATTTGTGTTCAAGTCAGGTTATCTAGATCTAGACCATGTGTTGTTTGTTGTTGTCTCTGTTTTTTTGGGAGGAGTGTATTGTTTGGTGGTTGATATGGTCTAATGAACTCTGAGGTATTATTGGTGATTCATGTTATCCCTATTAATGTATTATCTTTACCTACATATAAGTTTATCAATTCTAAATTTCACTTGTCCATAAATGTGCATATGACCATTTGAAAATATCAGAATCATGGCCCAATTTTACATATACATGTATATGCAATAATCTTTAAAAAATAATGTTTCCATGATTCAATTCTTTTGGTCTTTATTCATATAGTATGTGAAATGGAAGGAAGAAATTATAAATTCAAGTATATACTATTTTCCTCATCTCAATCATCTGATACAAAAACATGGTCATCTTTTTTTTCCATTTTCATTTTAATGATTTTAAATCAAGATTTCAGTGCATTCTAGATTTATAGGTTGTCAAAGATTACAATACGTTCTTTAACATATATTAACTTCTAAGCAGTTAAAATATCATTTGTAATTTTGTCAACTTTATGTAGAACTGTGGAAGCATTATGTAATTCTTCCAAGGTAGAACCATAGTATGTATAATACATCTATGGTAGAACCATTTAAACTGTTTTGTAACAATAATGCAGTGGGCAGGTGTACCAATTTTACCCAAGGGGACAGAACTGACAGAGTTTAATAGGTCAAACAAGAGTCAATTACATACCACTCAGATATAATAAATGGTCACTTTAATACTGTTACCCTAAACATTCTTGGTCTTTAATTTGGTCATTATAATTTAAAGTCCATTAATTTAAATTTTAGAATATTTTTCTCTTTAATATTTTTTTCAAATCTGTCTAACCTTTTCATCATATAAACTTAATCCAATTGTATTCAATGTTTTCAGTCTGCTGAAAAGTAAGTCAAAATTGCTCCAATTTCTAATGGCCTTTTTATAACTTGCTGGGGCTTTCAGATGTCTGAGCAATAAGAACTATTAAAAAGTATGATCAGTAAATCAATTGTTTATAGCAACTATTTTGTATAAATAGATTATTATCACAAAATACCTCTTAGAATGCTTGTGTATGCATATGTATAATTGTATTTAGGAGACCCTGTTTAATATTTTATTCAATCAGCATTGGGGTTTCCCAGTCACATTAACAGCAATATACAGGGAGGATTGGAGGAGGTGGATTAATGGGTAACAATCAATCATAATTTTATCTATCATACAGCAATCTTGTCACCAGATTCTTGCTGTTCTGTCTAACAAATCATGAAATGAATTAAATTAAACAAATTAAATTAAACACAAGTGAACCAACGCCTGGTAAATCTTCTGTCAGTAGATTCCATAAAAAATGGTTTAAGTATTGAGTCTTTAGTAAATCCCATCATAGAAAACCTGAAAAACCCCAGAATTGTTTTCCTTTCTCTCTATCTTTCTATCTATGTGCCTACCTTAAAGGATAGAAGGAATCTGACAATCTTCTTATGAACCCTTCATGTTTGATCTGTAGCCAGCTCACACCATCTGTAAATGATGCATTTCTCTTTACACTCTGAAAAATAAAGTGTTTTGTAAAGATATAATTTTGTAATGTGATTATATTTTTTGTATTTCACATCTCATAACTGCTTATCATGTAATCTGTAAACATTTACAGTTAACAAATAACTCATTTTTAATTAATGACTGAACATGCTGAACAAGACATTGCCAATCTAAATTCAATATATATTTCAATCAATTCTTACGGATTTGTATCAAAAAGGTATCATCATAACTTCTATTTTCATCATAAATAGAACATTCATAAAATAATCAGTTTCATACAACTTTATATATAAGTTACATTCAATATAATTACAATCATTATATACAGAATCCAGTTTTTACACAGGTTTCGTCACATTTCAAATGAAAAACTTTTACCCAATTTTACCTTAGACTTCATGAGGGTGTTCAATAGAGTTGTAATAATTTCTAAATCTGTTTAATATTCAGCATGTACATGTACTTCCCCTTAGATATACATGTATACACATTTGTATACTTATATAGCATCCTGTCACACCTCACACCTTTTTAATATTTTAATCTACAAATCACACATCTACATAAAACTTCAATTGATCTGTTAATTGCCATGTAAACAAACTGGCTTCTTGATAACAATTTATCAATATTATCCAAGCTCAAAGAAGAAGCCATTCTATCCTAGTTATTTTAATCAGTGTTTCAATCATCGAACTACTCAAGGAGAAAAATCCTTTTTCTTTTGTTATCCTTTAACTATCATTTTTTAAGTTAACAATACTTATTAATTGTTTTTGAGAGAGTTAATTTTAGTTTATCTTTCATCTGTAACTAACATTTTATTTTTTTACAATTGTCTACATACACATTTCATTAACATTTAGTTAAACTATGTTCATTTATTAAAAATTTTCAATAACATACATGCATGTACTCAAAACATCTTTGAATGTAACTTTTACATTTTGTACATGATGTACATACCATAAGGCATAACTGCATATGTATGTAATTTTTTGTCTTCGTCTATTTTACATTTTCAATTACATACATGTACATAAAATTTCATTAACATTAAAAATGTAAATTCTACATTATGTACATACCATATTTACACAAACAACATAAGCAATCTTCTGAATGATCAAGATTAAAATAAAAATCATCTACACAAAATGTATTGTTTATCTGTCTTATCTGTTTCCTTATTATTATTATTATTATTTCAAATATATGACCTTTGTCTGAAATAACTCTTGTCGTTTCATTGTCTATAATATATTCATAGTTAGAGCAATATAGCACTAAAAATTTAATCTGCAATAAAGCAAATTGTTTCTCAGTTAGAATTATATTATTATTTCTATATGTCAATATTAAATCAATCTATGAAATGGACATTCACAGCAGGATATATAATTTGACATTTCCACTGCAGGATCAAAACAACATCAGATCTATAATTGCCTGGTCTGAAATATACATTAAATCTTTATTTCTGGAAATGTACCAAAATTTATAGCTAAGGATTCTGTAAAATATCAGGCATTTCTTTCCATCTTCTTTATCTATAGTACATTGTACATACTTTCTATCTTATGATTGTTCATTATATATATATTATACATGTATATGTTATACACTTAATCTTTATCTGTTCTGAGGACTATGTTTTAAAATGTGGAATGCTGAAGATCAGTGTCTTATAGAAATGTGTCTTTTTTCATTTGAGGTGCCTCCCGGGAAGGGGGTTTAAAGATATTTTTGTTTGCTTTCATTATGATATATTTAAGCTGCTGTATTGTTTCATTTATGCATCTAAGAAATGAGCAAGAACTAATTTATAAGTAATACAAATAATTCTCCTGTGGGTTCTTGTCATAAAGTAATTATTATTAATAATTGTATATGTGTGGTTCATACAATGATACATACATTGTACATGTATCATACATGATCTAAACAGTACACGTAGGAGGTTTTAAGTTCTAACCTTGTCACACTGACCAACAAAGTAACACATGCATTACTTTAGATGGATTTGAATAATATATGTTGATGGAAGCATCACCCAGTTTTCACTCATACAACAAATGATTATAGTAATGGGCAATAAACACTGCACTCTTTTGAATATAAAAACATAAAAACTTAATGACAAATTTTGTACAAGGACCTCTTCATCACAACTCAAAATAGATTTCATAAAAACAGAACCAAATTACTTGTGCCTGTTATTAAGAATAGGACCGAACAGTGTAATATTTGCAAACTTCACATTGCAATAAGACATTATGTAAATCTTTCTAATCAGATCTTCTAGATCTATTGTCAATGTTCCAAGTCTTGTGGGGTAAATAGAATAGTAAACTATTAAAATTCACATCCCCCCTCCAGGCGTGTTTCAACTTTGGCCAGTATATTGTATATATATAAAAGTGAATTTAGTTTCAAAAATCCAGAAATACTGTGGATTCATTTATTTTCGTGGGTATAAATTTTCGTGGATTGAGGAAAACTTGCATTTTCGAGGATATTTGATTTCGTGGTTTTACCAAGCTCTGCATACAAAGCCTATGAAAAATTTGTAATTCGTTGAACATTTGAATTTGTGGTTTACTTGTACCCACGAAACCCACGAACATTGGTATCCTATGAATAATAATGAATCCACAGTAACAAATCTTTAATGTACCAAAACACATTACCTAATTTATCATCTTTATGATCATCAGAAGACTGAACTCTTTTATAAAACAGACATATTTGCACCTACATTTTGTTACATGTATATAGTATACATCACTTTAAGTTGGAACTTGATTATTAAAGCAGACACCCACATCCATGATTAAAACAGAAAATAAATCATACAATCTTACCTCAATCTAAATAAAAAAAAAAAATCATCATAATGATCATTGTATATTTAATATTGAAACAAGTATCTTATTTACCCTAATAAATGCACCAAACTAATTTTGGTACAACAAAATAATATTTCTTTCCAATTTGACCATTAACTACATGTATAGAACACTGGCTCCGAACAAACAAAAATGCAGATAATTAATATCATAAAATATTGTTGAATTATTTCTGCAATTATTTTAAGTTGAATCAAAATGTACATTTTTTTAAAAACCAACTAAAAAAAAAAATGTTTTTTTGAAAGAATTAATCATGATGATGATAGAGCTGAAACCTAAAACAAAGTAACACTATCTATGCATTAGAAAAAAATGTAGTGTTGGATGAGGAATTTCTGCTACTGATCATAGAGCTTATGATCGAAACTTTGTTTCCGTTCTGACAGGTGCTAATATAAGCTCCCTCAATATGGAAAAATACAAAAACCCTTAGGCACATTGTGTGTATTTATTAGAATATATATTAATCATTAGATTTGAATGTGGTATAAGTAGGTACTTGTATCAAGTATAATACTTATCTTTCCAATGATGAAGTTCTCTGATGTTCAGGAAATATTACATAGATATATTAGATAACATATGTTTTCACAAAATTTTCATTATTACATCAATGATGTTGCATGAACAACATGAACCAAATATGAAGTGAAGTCTCCCCCACTTTGCTCCAAGTATTATGTATCAACATCTGGCTGTATGTTATATAAGTCATTTTAACATCTATAACCCAAAGAATATAATCTAGAGAGAACACCCATTAAACATGTGTAAGCACAAACAGCAAATGCATGTACATGTATGATAAAATGTACATGAACCAGAGTTTTTCAAGGTCATAAAAACCAGTAAAATATGTGGCACATATATATATAATAATGTGCTAGACATCCAGTAAAATGAGAATTTTACAGAATCTTATGTCCCATATTTTGTAAATGGGCGACAACCATGACAACAGTTACAGTTACTTCTAAATTAATGTTTTAAATTTTTAACCAACTGCAACTGTCAAAACTTCAGCTGTTGTTCAATGTATTAATGATGCTAGGTAGTGAATATCAAATTTGAATTGGACTGTGAGAAAACGAGCAAAATGAGTCTATTGCCATTGAAAACTAAATAGCTAGTGCTACTAAATTTAAGTAAGTAATTTCAATAATCTCTCTTTCATCAAGTTAGAACAGGATTTGGTTCCTTTAAGCACACTCTCAGGTAGTGTTCTTCAACTGTGTAAAGTTTCACAAATTTCAATTTAGATGTGTAAGTAGAAGTTAAAAATTTTGCAATTTTTCCATTTATAAAGAGGCATAACTCTAGAACGGTTAAAGTGACACCACCAAATTTCAAACTGTGTTTTGTGGTAATGAGCATTGTGTATAAGTTTCATAACATTTGGTTGGGGCAAACTAAAGTTAGAGAACGGAAACCATAAATTCAGCAATTTTCCATTTGTAAAGGGGCATAACTCTAGAACGGTAAAAGTGATGCCACCAAAATTCAAACTTCATCTGTGTTTTGTAGTAATAAGCATTGTGTATAGGTTTCATAACATTTGGTTGAGGCAAACTAAAGTTAGTGAACGAAACCAATTTTGGGACATACATACTTTCGTTCGTTCGTACGTACAGACGGACAAGGGTAAAACTTAATGCCCCCTACGCTACTGCGGGGGCATAAATATGTTCAAAGATAATTCGGATTGAAGTTTGACTATTAAAGTCAGAGCATCATGACCCAAAATAACATGTACATCCCTCATAGACATCCTGACTACGGGCTTGATACCACTGTCTTATTCAAAACAGCAAGATATAACTTTTTAAACTAATATATCATAATTCATGAATTTTTTGTTGAATTGTACACTACATTGTATATATAGGAAAATTTTATTAGCCAAACAACATTTTTACTTGCCTGGGTCGTTGGGCTTGTGGTTAATCGTGAAAACTGAACTACTACTACTACTAGTATCCTCAGTTCCATTGCAGTTTGAGAAAATTTGTTCTGATATACATACTGGTAAATATTGATTCTGTTATAAACTGATGATATATATATCATGTATATAGCCTGATATAAACTGTTT